TTACGAATCCGTCAAGGATTTAAGCCTCAAAAAGTAATAGTAATTAAGTGCTCTCCAAATCGGTCAACGATTTGTCCCGATGTTGGTATAACAGCAATAAATCATTATAATCACAGATACTTATTGATTATAATACAGTAGTGGCCTTTTTTTAAGGTTTCGAAGTTTTTGCATGGTTCTCTGGGTGGCCTTTGACAAATGGTTATCACATCTCCGCAGCTTTTAATCCAGGATCTTTGTGATAACGAATTGGATAGACAATAGTGCACATACACTTTCGAAAGACTTGTTGGCTAGTAAGTAGTATTTAGTAGTAGGATTTTTGTTTAGTTCTTTATGTATTTGTACTAATTTTATTTATGCTATTTGTTTTTCTCTATAATAAATCGTTTTGTACCTTTGGATAGCTTTTTGAACCGTTAGTGTTAAGACATTCTTATATTACAGGTAAGAGCTCTCATATTTTTTTAACCAGCAATCTATGCAATACAATCTCTCAAATTTTAAGGACATTCTTCATGTGTGTCCTATTGTGTAGATACTAATTTTATCTACATAAGTGATGATCGATTTTCGATTCGAATTTCGAATTTAATATCACGGTTAAAACGAAGAGTGCGTTAGATTTATCAACAACAATTAACAATACCCATAATTTATTTTACGTCCGTCTTTGGAAAATCGTAATGTTTTAACATATGCATGCCATAGAATGCCTTTTCTGAAAATCAAAATTTTAATAAAAGCTTTTACTCGAAAGTTTATGTAGGAATATAAAACTTTGGGACATAATATGTCAAGGGTAGAGGATGATACAATCAATCACACTGTAATCGACTGTCAACCAATTAAACCAGTATCGTCTCAAATTATACTTAAAGACTTTTACGTCGAAACTTAATTACCGGATCAAATCTCTCTGCTACGATTGCTCTAATCGTGGAGTAGAGTTAAAAAGAAATGTCTGTGAAGGTGATTGAGATAAAAGATAAATATATGTAAAATTGGAGAACATCTTTAATGCTGAAAATTTGGTCAACACTATAAACAAAATCTCCGAAAAATTGTCAAGGCGCGCCGTGTCATCATTTGTTTCAGTGTAGGAATCCACCTATCACACCTACGAAGCGTTTAGCCTTGAAGTTTCAATTTGTGATTTGTAAAAAAAAATAAATAAAGAACAAAATGAAGACACGCGGACGGAAATAGAATAACGGGCATTCTAAGTGAGAGCATAATGCTCGATACATTCAAGTCCAGACTTGTTTTCGTATACAAATAAAAGTAGAGTTGGTGAAAAGCCACCGGCGAGCGCGTTCTCGCCAGAATTTCGAATATAAATAGGCCGGTACTTTTTTAAATAAACAAATTGATAAACAAGTCAATGAAATTTTCCAGTACAGAAAATCGATTTATAAATAAAGTGTGGCTTGGTGCATAGTGAGAAAATAACAATCATACAGGACGGTAATAGATTTCCGGTAGGAAATTTTAGAAAGAAAAAGACAAATTTTTGTTCACAAAATGATAAAATAAATGAATAAGCATATACTGCCCATAAGTCCTTAACCCGGGAACGGTTGCACTTAGGTTTGATCTAATCTTACTAATATTTTTATTTCGAATATTTTTATCAACTACAACAATGATAAAATAAGCAAAAAGAAAAATTGTAATGTATGGTGAAAATTAATTGGAGCACCACCCTCTCTATCAGTGATAAATATTATTTATCCAATAAAACTTCTTGTATTACTTTTTATGGAAATTGTATTATCAAGTGAGGGTCGTAGAAATAATTCATGACATTAGCTGATTGATTTAATTTAGTTACCTGTCAAAATGGTTAACGGAAAGTGTTTATCTAACGATTTACGAAATTCCATTGTTGCGAACCATAACAAAGAACCTTCCTATAAATAAAATTGCTGAAAATTTAAGTAATCCTCAAGGAAATGTGCAAAATATAACTTCAACTGTATCACTTCATTACAGAAAAAGATGAGCTTGCTCTTCGGAGACTTTAAAAGATCGCCAAATTTCTTCTCGAGAATTGGTTGTAAAATGGGCCCACGCTGTTGGTAGACCAATTTCAAAAGACATTTGCTTGAGGAGAATGAAAAAAAGTGGAATATGGATTCTACAAGGTAAGTTTTTATAAACACCACTTATCTAATCTCAAATATTTGAACTTATCATCACACTTTAGGCACAGAAAAAACCAGTTCTTACAAAGAAACAAAGAACACAACGGTTTTTATGGACAAAAGACTACCAAAACTGGGTTCAACATCAATGGCATTCAGTTATTTGGAGCCATGAATCAATATTTAGCTATATTTACAAAGAAAATTCTTATAATTAGTTTTTCTTTTCTGTCTTCTTCCTGTCGACTTCCATTGTTTTGTATTTTCTTGTCGGTGGAGATATCCCAGCCATAACAGCCTTTGACTTTTACATATCACAATACAAATATGCAAATAAACATAGTAGAATGACTAAAAACAAGCAAAATAAGAAGGGAAAGACAAGTTAGATAGATTTATCCAAAATTGTTTACTCTTTCATTAAAATATGTATTCTTTTTCTTCTTGTTCACGTATTCCTCATGCCCTATAAGAGGGTCGAATAAAGATTCGTTCCACAAATTAAATTGGGAAAAACGCTGAATTAAAATCGATGGAAAATTTTTAAATCATCGAAGATTTGCCGATCACATAGTACATAGTAGGTACTCGTAGGCACAAGGTCTAATGATATAGAGGAACTGCTCTGCACGCTAATGGAACTTAAGAAGAATCTGGGAAAATATACTTAAAAATGAATTTAAAGAAAACAATTTTAGTTCCTAGATTTTAGAATAACAATATCTCAACTAAAATATTTTATCCAACATATAGAGAACATAGTTTGAAGAGACTAAAAAACATACTAATAGAAAACTCTAATCCCGTAGGTCTACTTAATAAATTAATTTTTAGTACTGAAAACTCTCCAGCCTCCATCACATTGACGCAACAATGCCAACAATAAAAAACAAATCACAATGAAAATGGCAACCAACCAACATTACAAAATTTGGATCTTTACCTTATATTTCATTCTTAGCACCAAAACTTCTCACATTATTTAACGGAGTAGAAAACATAAAAATTATCACTAAAAATATTAAAACTATAGCACATTTATACACTAAACTAAAGATCCTCTAACAACCAATGAAAGATCTAAAGTAGTGTATCAAATACCTTGCTCAGGCTATGATAAGGTTTATATAGAAGAAACTTCTAGTACATAATACAGCAGAATCATTTCTCACAAAAAGTGACATGTAAATCAACCTCCTGGCTACGAAATCTAAGGGAGTGGTTTGGTCTGAGCTCTAGCCAACTATTTAGAGCTGCTGTAAGTAAAGTAAGAATTGCCATGTTGATATCCAACCTTCGTTAGAAGATGGAACCTTAAGAAGAAGAAATCATAATGTTGTGCATTATTATATTGTGCAAATGACACATATACAGAAAAATAAAAAATGTATCAATACAAAATCGGATATTGACAACTTAAGTAACATTCATTGTTACAATATCAACAAAAAATTTGATAACATTATAATCTCATTTTCTATCGACATCCCAACAAAAAAAAATTCATATATGCTTGAGATAAATTGACTGGACTAATTTATTTTCCTCATCCTCAAGAATCATTACTTGATATTCAAATTAACCGTCAACAATACCACCATATATACATATATATATATATATATATATATATATATATATATATATATATATATATATAAATTATGATTTTTGAGGACGCAGTCAGTTTATTTGGCCCACAAGACAAAGAAAACTCTTTGACTTACTGTCAAGCTTTCGAATTTTATTTAATTCTTTTTCAAGACATCTATAAAAAGAAATATAAATTAACTAGTTAAAATTGTTAATTGTCTTACTTACTAGTTAATAATAGATAAGAGTACAATAGTATTAACTGTAATCTCACGACTAGTAAGTAAGACAATTAACAATTTTAACTAGTTAATTTATATTTCTTTTTATAGATGTCTTGAAAAAGAATTAAATAAAATTCGAAAGCTTGACAGTAAGTCAAAGAATTTTTGGCCAAAGGCCATATTTAATATGGCGTAACAGTACAATTCATCAAACATTTTTATAAGGTTATTTCCTCATATTCCCTGCTTCATCAGAGTATCTTTCCCGGATTTTATAAGACTAAAAAAAGGTACAGTTTTATCTTACCAGTTATGACACATGGAAGCCATCGAACGAGCTATGTTAGGAGTTTCTCTGAGAAAATATATACGAAATGTGGACGTACGAAGCAGGACAAAGATGGAAGATGTAATTGGAAGAATTGCGTAAATCAAATGGAGCTGGGTAAGACACGTAATACAATAAAACAACGAAATAAATAAATAAATAACACTGTATAATGGAGACCACGCGCCCACAGTCATAGTAGAAGAAGACCACTACAAAAACGGTGGCTAGACGACATCAAAGCAAACGTGGGGAGAAACTAGCACCAAATAACAGAAGAGTGAAGAACTGATGTGAAAGCTTTTGTACAGGAGTGGATGCAAATGCTGAAGAAGAAAAAGATCATCATCAACAGCTAATCCCATCGCGTCGGATGTAAGCCTCTCTTAGGTGTGTTCATTCATTTCTCTTCGTTGTTTATAAGCAACCAACCGTTTGCTTGATATCATCAGTCCATCTAGTTTAAGATATGCCTCTACCTCTTTAATTTGCTCTTGCTGTTGTTTTGTGAAAATTTTTGCCTGGAAGTATGTAGTAAGTTTGATTTAAAGACTGTTTGTGATCTTCCAAATGCTACCTATACTAAGGAACATACTATATTTCTTGATGTCTTTTTATGTATATGTTCTTTGTATGTCTTTATCTATTCTCAACAGAGTTTAAATATGTTTATATTATTTTTCAAGGGCCAAATTGACTAATATATACCTGCGGAACAATGGCGGCTCCACTAGCAGCAGATGGAAGTCGTTTTCTGACGAAACTTCGCGATCTCGATGATGGACGGCACATTTAAAGCTTCTCGAGCGCTTTCCGGTCATCTGCAACAAATAAATGCAAATAAACTAAAATGACTTTTAATTTTTATGATTCTTTAAAAAACAAAGCAAAATCAACTGAATGTCTTCACTGATTTGTCATAAGCTACCCCTCATATATCTTTTAGAACTTTCAAATAGCTGTATAAGGTGTTTATGTGAAATTGATGATTTTTTCACAGAGAAATAGACAGGTTTAATTATACAAAGCTGCCGTTTGCTTATGTTTAAAGCGTAAACTAATATAATATTTTGTTGTACGTCAAAATCTATTAAAAATACAGTTCCACAGGCAATGAAAATAACTAATTATTTATCAACGAGATACAATTTGTAAAGATGCCCATGTAACCGTCGAAAACAAAAAAAAAAGGATAAGACTGGAGAATGCGATCATTGCAAGGCGTCGCGTCGTCGCTCGGTCCATATTTAATTAGTCGTCTGTCGGCCGATCGTACCTATAACTTTAAATCTGTGGGGATTTAATTTAGTTAGGTTAGGAAGAAGAAGAAGGCGTGCATCTTAATCATGCCGCATTCCGATCTAATCGAAATAAATTATGAGCCAAGTGGTGGGCCTTTCAGTGGACCTGATGGGCCGCCAAGTAGTTAGCTGCTGCTGTTGCTTCTTCTCTTCGTCTAAGACCCTCCAGACCGCTCGCCGAGTACTATCTCTCTCGCTGCTTATAGTCCGAGAGATACCACATGCCAATAGATAACCAGTGAATGGCAGTGAAGACAAAAACAAAAAATAAAGTAAAATAAAAATTTACTTACGATTGTGATATCAACTTTTTTTCCTTTGCACAGTCGTGATATATGATTATCGTAATAGGGTCGTACCACACTATCTTTAAAATAATTCAATAAACCGTTTTTGAATGCCTTTAAAAAACTATACTATATAGGGATCAGTCAATAAGACTAGGCTAGTTATAATATGTATGTCCAAAATGAATAGAATAAAGTAAGCCAGACACAAAAAAACTTGGTATTGAATTTCTTATTGACTTTCTGTTTCCCATTATCAATTATTTCAGTTAATATTTATACCTCGAGACTAAAATCAGACTATGCTGGCTAAAATCATGATGCTATAGAAAAAAAGCAAAAAAAGTAAATTAACAACAATATGGAACAGACAGAAAAATTAAAATATTGGACAAGAAAGTATAAAAACCAAAAATTGAAATACAAACACTAACGACAAGATTAAATTTGATGACGAAAGAAAAGAAAAAATAAAAAAGATAACATAACGTTCAAAGATCAGGGAACAAAAAAAAAGAGAAAGTACAAAAAGCCAAAAAATATACTAAAAATAGCAACATGGAATATGTTTAAAAAATATACAATAGATATCGCTGCGATACAAGAAATAAGATGGGAAAAAACGAAAGAAATCACAAAAGGAGAATATGTATTTATGTACAATGGAGATGGCAAACAAGGCAAGAATGGAGTGGTGTTTTACATAAATAAAAAATTCACAAATAACACAAAAAAGTTCAATACGATAGACGGAGGATCGTCACACTGAGACTAAAAATGAAAAAACACTATATAACACTAATAAATATATACGCTCCTTCTGAAAAATCCAATACAACAGCAAAAGATGAATTCTATAAAAACCTAAATATAGCATGCGACGAAATACCAAAAAAAAGACATGCTATTGATACTGGGAGATGCAAACATATGACTGGGAAAACAATGTACTGGAAAGACCTGGTCGGAAACGGAACTCTACACGAAAAACAAATGATAATGGCCACAGAATCGTCAACTACACATAGCAACACTAAATACTATGACTTTCCTATCGACAAAATTTGAGCATTCAAGAAAAAATAAGGGACACTGGACTACGTCCTAGTAATCAAAGAGTTAGTACCAGAAACAAAGCTAAAATAAACCCTAATAAATTCAACCTATTAGCATTAGAAGAGACCGAAGTAAGAGAAAAATTTGAACCACAGATTAACTCTGAACCCAGCATTAACACAAGGAGGAAAAAATCTTTAAAGGAGAAACTGTATTTGAAGATAAAGAGATTAACAGAACATGAGAAGTATATTATGAAAAAATGCTATTCACTACGGCGGAAACACACTACGATGAACAAGTAAGACCAATAGTACAAGATATCAATGAAACAGAAATTCCCGCAAAAGAAGAATTAAAAAAAGAAATTAAAAACCTACGAAAAAGAAAAGCAGCAGGAGAAGATAAAGTAACAGTGGAATTAAAAAATAAGGATGAAGAGATTAAACAAAGAAATAAACAAACTAATACAACAAATATGAACACAAAACACACTACCAGATGATTGGAACAGAGGTGTTATAGTGCCTATCTATAAAAAAAATGGATCGGAGGAAGTGAGAGAATTACAGAGAAAATAACCCTATTAATTACCACATATAAAATTCCAGCAAACATACTAAACATGAGTCTTAAATCATGCGCTGAACGAATATTAGGAGAATATCAGAACGAGTTCAAACCGCGGAAATGTATAAAAGGAGATAAATTCAATGTCTCTAAAGAGAACAAGGATACAAGAAGATTTTAGCATAGCCATGCACTGAAAAACGCTCTGTTTAAGATCTCATTTGTATTATGTTTGTGTTTTGCTTATGTACATATTGCAGTTATAATAAATATAAGAAAAAATATAAAAAGTACATAATTAGAATATCTGCGAAGGTTAAAATTATGTTTCATACAATATTGCTAATTATAGTTCATTGTTTTTGTAGCCTTGAATTGTCAAAAATGTACCCGCTGGATATACCTATTGAATTCCTTTTACATTATTCGATGTCATTGCCTCTTGATTAGAAACAGGAAGTAAAACTTAATAATAGTTATAAATTACCTTGTCCTGGTATAAATTATATCAATAGATAACATATTAATTTATCTCTTTCTATATGTTTCTAAATAGGTTTATATGTATTTAAATATATTTCCTTTGATCTGCGTCATTTTTAAATACTTTCTCAGAAAAGAGTCAGAAAAAAGAGAAATACCGAAAAATATTTAGAGCAAAGTGAAGATAAACTCATTGCAGAGAAAGTTTTAAAAAATAAAGTATCTATTTAGAACGTTCGTTAAAATATCAAGTAACTACTACAAAAAAAAAAGGAAGCGAGTGGCGTTTAGTTTGACAGAAATATTGAAATTTAATAAACTGAAAGGAAGTTTCTATAAAACTACCGTAAGATCAGCTATGATGTACTTAGCTGAAGGTTGACCAGTTAAAAGGAAAGAAGAAGAACGAATTCATGTTCAATTCAACAATTTTGAGCATCTATTGGTTTTCACTCTGGTCATACGGTCAAGCCATCTTAATCTTTTGTCTTTTTAGCGAAGGTTGCATTCCAATTAATTGCCCCTCTTCATAGTTGACAAATTTTGTGTTAACTGTATACTGACTTCTTTCATTTTTAACTTCTTGAGAGAAGTTCCTGCTGTTTATTTACAAAATTTCTCAATATTATTCAGTTTTTTTTCCAGAAATAATTTTTTTGCCTGGGACCTTCTTTGATTCTCTTTTTTTTATCATGAGTTTTTGCTGTGAATACTATTAATCCTCATGTGATTTATTATTCTAATCCTGTTTCGCTGTTCTAGTGTCTGACAGCAATCCTCATCAAACCAATCTTTTTGCCTTGTTAGTTTATCTATTGGTACTACCGAATCAGCAGTACTCTGTAGTAGATGATTTATTTGCATCTATATATCTTGCATATCTTTTACTTGTTTTCTAAATTTATTTCTGATTTCAGAAAAAGAGGATCGTGTAAAAAGGAACTGGAAATAAGCAAAAAAAAAGTAAAGAGAAAATTCAGAACTAAATTAATCACAATAAAAGAAATCACAATAAGAGAAAACGCCACTCTCTTCCACTTCTAGATATAAGATACACCGTAACCCAAACACAAAGAATTGGTGTTATTTATATTTTTTGAAAAATAAGGCTATTATCGAGCACAAGTTAATTAAATCTAGCCCAAGTACTTTCGCTTAAAATAGCATCTTCAAGTTCATTTCGTCAAACACGAAATGCTTTTTGAGGAAATGACCCTGAAGATGCTATTTTAAGCGAAAGTACTCGGGCTAGATTTAATTAACTTGTGCTCGATAATAGCCTTATTTTTCAAAGTTCATTTATTCGAGCATTCAACATCATTTCAATTAAATTTATATTTTTGTTTCCCTTATATTATTATTTGTAAAAATATTGTACGTAGAAATCTCCAGCGAGCTCTCTGACTATTGCTCTAAGGTGGTAATCAACTTTGGCGACCAGCGTCGGCACTTTTCTGACGAAAGAAGGAATCGGTCAAACTCGAAGAATCCTATAATTTCCGCCACCCGCAGTTAATGTATCTCAAAATAATTATTGATGAAAGTTGTTAACGAGAGGCAAACACTTTTCCGAAAAAAAAATCACAGGCGTCTGAATGATTGAGGTGGTGACCGACAGCGTTGGGGGAGGGTTTGTTATTGACAGGCTTGTGTGGTTCCCGCTGATGTATTAACCGACAAAAATAAATATTTCAGAAGATAGAAGGCTTCATTTATACCTCATTTTGGTGAAGATTTGACGGATTTTTATTTTTGGTGTTCTTGACACTTACTTGGACTTCATTAGCAGCGATAGCGTTTCATAACTTTTTGTTTTCTTTTGAGTTTCTGAATTTTATTTCGGTGAAAAAGGCATTAGTTACTACTTATATGTGTTAAATTGGCGAAATATTCATATAATTTTATTTTTGTTAAATACAAAAATACAAGTCACAACTTTTATTAATATAGTGTATTTTTTTGTTGAATATTCGTTAAAAAAATGTTTTTTTTTTCAGTGAACAGTATTTAGGTAAAACCAGTAGCTTTCAAGATAAATGAGAAATTGTAAATGTAGAATAAAAACACCGCCATGACCAATATTACTTATTTAAAACCTCAGTAGGTAAAATAAATTGGAAAGAT